TACAGTCGACCCCCCTATAAGATATAGATACGTTCCAATTTATTAGGAATCCGATTTCTTACAAGTCGTTCCAATCACAGCCCGACACGTGTCAAGTTTACGGACTACGGCTGATTGAAAGGTTTTCTTCCATAAAATTAATCGATTCTACACTAATCCGACTCAACATTTCCAAAATACGTATATTTTTTCGTAGTTTTATAGGAATCGTAATTATAGGGGGGTCGACTGTAATTTGTTGAAAACGTTGTGATTTGTGTAATCAACGAGAAGAATTTTATTTTAAACAAATTTTCAGAGTTCGAAATTATTTGAAGAACGCCGCAATTTAGTCTTTACAGTGGTTAACTAATTTCTGGACCACCCTAAATTAACACGTGCGCCTAGATCTCGGAATGGCTCAAAAATTTAACTGGTATACTTGTAAACGTGGAGTCAAGACCATTCCTCGGGTCTAGTGTGCGTATTTTTTTTTCATTCGAGTTGACTTGTAAATAAGTCGATAAGATGCGTTAAAGTTAAAATAGGAAAGTTTAATTTTAATTTAAATTCATTTTAAATTATAGTTTAGTTTATAGGCTTATTATTATTGATTTTTATAAATTTAAATATTTAGTAATTAAATATAAATTTTAGTAATGACAATGAATCAACCGTAGCCTATGTTGACATAATACTATACAGTACTTAAAATATCTAAAAATCAACGACGACAAAAATTATATAAAAGTTTGGTAAAAATGTTTATTCTTCTAAAATCAAGTGAGAAATTTTAATTAATTTTTAATTCTGTGTAAAAATATAGGCCCCACTATTAAATACTTTTTTTCATTAGTTTTATACGGAATTAAAAGTTTAAGTTTTATGTTTCATCTTGGCTATCCTGCTACGGACTCACAATAAGATATTGTAAATTTTGTTTTCGCCGATGCTTTTACACACAGCTTATTCAAGAAGAAAATTTTGGTTTTAAATTCATTGTCACGTATTTTAATTTGTATAGATAGCTAAGTACAGAAATGCATTAAAACACCCTATTAAAAGCAACACATCCTAAATTGTTTAAAAAGGAAAATAAAGAAAAAAAACACTTTCCGTGGATCAATACAGTCATATGTCATTATGGATAAAATCAGGTGGTTTTATATAGTATATAACGCAGACAGGTAGCTACGGTATTTTAAAACAGTAGCTGTTTTATGTTATGCAAATCTTTTTAAGAGTAAATCCCGCATCATACGATACTTAAAAAATTATATAAGATCCTAGCTATGATAGTAAAGGACAGTATCAAAATCAGGGCCTTGAAGCTAGGAATTCCTTCCTCTAGCCTTTCTTCAACAAGATCCTCTCGGTTTAATATTTCTTCCTGTCTCTATCTCTAGCTACTGAAATTATGTAAATTGATTTTTTTAGATTTTATAATTGAAATTTTGTTATACAGATTCCGGTCCGGAACCAGGATATAGAACTTCCCCTTCCTCTTGCCGGCCAGTTTTGAGTGCTGGATCCAGATCGCACATCGATAAATATGTATTTATCTGCAACTGAGTCTTCTAAAAGCGCTAGACCCTAAGCAAAGATCTAAAGATCTAGATTGCCTATTGATCGGTCAATTCTTCCCCAAGAAGCTGATGCCCGATAATTCTTCCTGAGACACTTCTACCTCAAACAATTTATTCAGGATATTTTTCACACAATCCTTCTCTCCAAAAGTTCAGACAGTTTTCTTCTATATATATTTCTCCAGATTATTATTTTCCTAAATCTTTCGCAACAAATTGTTGTCCTATTTATATAACTCTATTAATATTATATTCCCTTTCAGGAATATATAGATTATACCAAAAAATAGCAGTTGATTAAAAATATTTTTGGGAGATAAATTCGCCGATCACAATCGACCTGTTGGCGCCATTCGGATAGGAAGTATAGAATATTGGTTCATTTAATTTATATCAATCATTATATTCCAGGGGGAAAATAGATTTTTATTAAGACAACAAATTTCTGTAAATTTTTTTTATCGAATATTTTTAAGCAAGTTTATTTTTGTATTCATTAGGATTATAAAATAAATACAGTATTATTATTATACTATTATATTTAAATACGATATAACTTTGAATTGCAAAATTCTATATACAGTTTTTAAGTTATAAGTTTTATGCAAAGCATTAACACAAATATAAGCTATATTATCAATCGAAATCACAAAAGTTTGAAGAGATGAAATATTTTTAGAAATTTTCTTAACTAGGAATACACCGATCGTAAAGAGTGCGCCATGAATAAAAGTGTTTGTTCCAAAATGTTTCGATTAACATTTTTGTACCATATTTTACTTAAAGAGAAAATAAAATCTGTTTCAGAAATGATATACTGTACATCTTTAAAAATCTGTTGCAAAAAAGCTCATTCAAAAACGATAGTATCTCAAATATTGCGGGATTATTAAAGAAAAACGTTTACGTCTTCTGCAGATATAATTTAAAATAAAATCATTATTAAAAATCACTATTTACACTAATAAACAAACGAATAACTTCAAAAAAGTTTAAATGAAGTAAACCGCTTCTTATCTGCATCGACAAATATTATATAAGTAAGGCGGCTTTTTACATTATTTATTGTTCTTGGCAAATCATATATTATAGTTAGTAAAAAAAATATGTTTGGCTCAAACGTATTTTATAAATATGTTTGGTTCTTTGAGCCAAACATATTTTATAAATATATATAGGCCTATATATATATTTATAAAATAAGCAATCAGCGTATTAGCGTGGATGTGAAAAATATTAGACAGTATTATCATTTTCAACTGAACTCTATCAATTTTCTGAGTGTTCAATGAAATAAAATATCAAAAAATTATAAATATTTGTTAATTATATATGTACGTTTGTTGCGACATTTGTATATGAGGTAAAGAGTGTTTCTCCACTTTCGATACGACAGATTAAAAACATTATTTATACGAGGAAAAATATTAAAACAATATAGACTATTGTCATGTTATGTCACAACAGGTTAAATATTAAGATATCAAATTTATATAAAAAAGACTATGCTTTGATTATTATCTTTCTCTAAAAAAAGAAAATTCAGATTACGCAACGACTTGATCGTCAATCGATTCATAATATTGAATTACGTATTTATATAAATACATTAAAACAATCATGTTCTTACGTAATTATGGAGAAAAAAATTATTCCTGTAACAAGTGAACTGTTCATCTTAATGATTTATCACTAAATCAATAGTTTGTCATTAAATCTTTGAATTATATAGCGATTCTATGATTTTCTATCATGTTACTCGAAAATAAACTCGTAGCTTTCGCTCCAAACTTGACATATTTCAATCGTTTTATGTAATCTTATACTAGTCTTAGAAATGATCAATATATCTTAGAAGTGATAATGGCAACTGTTAGCAACCCATTAACTATAGTATAATCTTCGATTGCAATATTCCAAAGCAATATATAGAGAACGTCGAAGGGGAGCATGTATCTGATCTTAAGCCGCCATTATTCTGACAAAAAAACAAGACAAGGTTACTTCAGATGGCTATAGACAAGGTCATTTTAGCTATAAAAAGGAAATGTCGGCTATCCTTTAAGCCATAATATAAAAGAAACAAGGAAGAAATACCTCAAAGTTGCAATATTCAGATAATTATATTTAATTAAACACAAAATAATACATCAGATAATGTATTATTGAACAGAAATAAGTTATCTTTCAAGCTAACATGTATAATCCTTAATAACGATAAAATCAAATACTATATTTTATTACATCGATTATTATAATCGGTAAATTAAAAAATTGATATATTTTTTAAAATATTTATATCCTAAACGATTGGATTGGCTTGATGGAATAAGGCAACTCAACATATGGGTGATCTGCCAAGGGTGCGCCTTCCGGAAGGACTTTCTATGTAACTGGCTTTTATTTAAGTGTTACGGCAGGAACAGGGCCGCCGAGAGCACACACTGTCATTTTCGCATATAAAATTTAAGCGCGGAATTCTGCACTAGCGCACACAGACAGATATTTATCGCGCGGAATTCAGAGGCAGGTCGTAGAGCGGGAGAAACTGGGGATTTTCTGCGTGTCCGGATAAAACTTGAGGTCTCGTAGTGGTTACAATCATTATAAATTGTTGTTTTACTAACAAAAAATAAAATCTTTAACAGTGCGTTTTATTAATAAAAAAACATTTATATATTTATTTATTTATAAAGAAAAAAAACATTTCATTTGTTCAAAAAAAAAGCACAAGGGGATCCGCTGTATCTCCGGGCCCCATACAAGCGCTCGACAGCCGTGGACAGAAGACTGGGCCAGTTCACGTGTTTTATTCGAAAATGAAGATAATTAAGAAACCAGATTCCGCGCTGTTATTTTATGGCTCACGTGTTCGCTCTCATTCGCTCATGCCGAAACATTTCGATGAGGATTGTTACGGCGTAAATGACAATTTTCATTTTTCGGCGCTGAAATTTATTCTCGCGAAGGTCGTCTGTTCACTCTCATTTCGACCCATTTATTTTCACGTTTCGCCCCGAAATAATTCCATGCTAAAAATATCCGTCTGTACTTTTCGGACCTTAGATACGTGAAGAAAATCTAGAAAATTCCACGCGGTCAGCTCGTCGTTGAGGCGCGAACCAGCGACCAACTAATGACCAGTGATAGGCGATTTTATCCACTCGGATTTATAGCCTAGACTGTGTTAAAACGTTCGTTGATATTTTAAGAAAAAATAAAAGTTCTAATTTAATTGTAAATTCCTGAAAATATCCTTGATCATATAAATATACCAAGCCCTTAAATTATTTTGGAAGAAACTTAGGTTAAAAAAATATATTCCCTTCCGATTACTTTCGAGTAAATATGACAACTCTAAGAGAATTAATAATAATAATAATAAATGAATCTGTATCTTCAGAAAAATGTCTTGTATGAGTACATAGAAATATCCAAAACTTTGTTATGTAATGTTAATTTTTTAAGATAAATTATTAATATTTATCTTAAAAATATTATATAAATATTTTAATGGAAAATTTGTTTACTATTAATTAAAAAAGATAAACATTTTTTATTGGATAATTTAAAATTATTTTATTAATTAATTAAAGTTACTAAAAATACTGAATCATTCTGTGATTAATTTATACTAAAAAATCATAATTCACTATTTTATATATAAAATAGTGAAATTAATTTTTTGTATAGTGAAGTATGATTTTTATTTTTAATTCTTTATCTAATTTGCATTCAGATGTTAGACATCAACATAGAAATAAATATATTAATATTCAAGTGAAGCAAATAATTATATGGAAGTATTGGCACTTAATATATTAATACAGTATGTGTTTTACACATGCAAATATGCAGTATAACGAGTTAAGAACTTACAAGAGGGACTAATTCTCCCTTTTGCATAATTTCATTCAACATCTTCCCTCTGTCAGAACCAGAACCGACTTCTTCCCTCAACAAATCTCCCGTCGATAAATGTGTATATCCGTATTTTTCCACTATCTGTGCACATTGCGTACCTTTACCAGATCCTGGCCCACCTGCAAAAGTAAAATTATTGTCACAAGATGGCGATAGTGTGCAGTTTACGATCGTCTCCGTATTTTTTTATTTTTTAAGTTTTAAAGTTCGATAATTTTATTTTAATAATAATAATAATAATTTATTAAATTTACCTATAACAAATATAACAGGAACGTTGAGTGCTTTCAATGAATCCTAAATTAAAATTGAGAGTTGTCATTAATAATTTATTAAATTTATTATTCTATTTACAAAATTAAAAAATAAAGATAAAATTAATTAAATCTCATATATGAGGTTTAATTTAAAACAAAAATAAATTATCTTCTCTTAAAATAAATGTAAAATACGCAATTACTTCTAAATCACGTGATCGTATTTCGTTATTTTAATTGGTAGATTTAAAAACAAATAATTTTTTCTATCGATGTCTATGTATCATTTAAATTATCTTGAGACCAAAACTTCGAAGCAGATGTCAAAACAAAAACATCATTATTTTTAACGATGTTAATATTTAAAAATAGAATCTGATAGATATTTAATATTTTCATCGATTTAGCACTTCATTAATCCAAGCATTATAGAAAAAATTGTACGAGTTTTAAATCGTTTTTCGCGCTTAATATACTTACCTCTAGCTTTACAGAATGCTTATTGTTTCTAAATGATTTAATTTTCACATTACTACAAATAACGCCCATTTTAAACTCAAAAATTTATGTAGTATAAATTCAAACCATGGAAACACGCTAGTGACGTGACGGTGATTCAAATTTTCTGCTCAGGTCACATGACTTCAATTTTAAAAATTTACAATGAGAATATGAGACGTTTAAAAAATATTCGAATTTGCTTTAATATGAGATACTTCGCAAATAACGAGAAAGTTTTAGTTATATTTTTTTAAAATAATTTATTTCAGTTTTAATACGATTCTAAATTTATACAGATAAATTTGAATTTTTTTTAATCAAGAAAAAAATGAATAAACAACTTATTATTAAATTTTAACAACAAAAATATTTTTAAAATAATTTGTTACTATCCCGATAATAATTATTAATATTAAGGATTATTTTCTGTTTTTAAATTTAATATCACGTGATAATGTAATATTCCGGAGAGAATTGCATCCTATAGTTTTAGTTTAATTATTATATTGTTATNATTGTAATTTTCATATGATATGATTTTTATTTTTAATTCTTTATCTAATTTGCATTCAGATGTTAGACATCAACATAGAAATAAATATATTAATATTCAAGTGAAGCAAATAATTATATGGAAGTATTGGCACTTAATATATTAATACAGTATGTGTTTTACACATGCAAATATGCAGTATAACGAGTTAAGAACTTACAAGAGGGACTAATTCTCCCTTTTGCATAATTTCATTCAACATCTTCCCTCTGTCAGAACCAGAACCGACTTCTTCCCTCAACAAATCTCCCGTCGATAAATGTGTATATCCGTATTTTTCCACTATCTGTGCACATTGCGTACCTTTACCAGATCCTGGCCCACCTGCAAAAGTAAAATTATTGTCACAAGATGGCGATAGTGTGCAGTTTACGATCGTCTCCGTATTTTTTTATTTTTTAAGTTTTAAAGTTCGATAATTTTATTTTAATAATAATAATAATAATAAATTAAATTTACCTATAACAAATATAACAGGAACGTTGAGTGCTTTCAATGAATCCTAAATTAAAATTGAGAGTTGTCATTAATAATTTATTAAATTTATTATTCTATTTACAAAATTAAAAAATAAAGATAAAATTAATTAAATCTCATATATGAGGTTTAATTTAAAACAAAAATAAATTATATTCTCTTAAAATAAATGTAAAATACGCAATTACTTCTAAATCACGTAATCGTATTTCGTTATTTTAATTGGTAGATTTAAAAACAAATAATTTTTTCTATCGATGTCTATGTATCATTTAAATTATCTTGAGACCAAAACTTCGAAGCAGATGTCAAAACAAAAACATCATTATTTTTAACGATGTTAATATTTAAAAATAGAATCTGATAGATATTTAATATTTTCATCGATTTAGCACTTCATTAATCCAAGCATTATAGAAAAAATTGTACGAGTTTTAAATCGTTTTTCGCGCTTAATATACTTACCTCTAGCTTTACAGAATGCTTATTGTTTCTAAATGATTTAATTTTCACATTACTACAAATAACGCCCATTTTAAACTCAAAAATTTATGTAGTATAAATTCAAACCATGGAAACACGCTAGTGACGTGACGGTGATTCAAATTTTCTGCTCAGGTCACATGACTTCAATTTTAAAAATTTACAATGAGAATATGAGACGTTTAAAAAATATTCGAATTTGCTTTAATATGAGATACTTCGCAAATAACGAGAAAGTTTTAGTTATATTTTTTTAAAATAATTTATTTCAGTTTTAATACGATTCTAAATTTATACAGATAAATTTGAATTTTTTTTAATCAAGAAAAAAATGAATAAACAACTTATTATTAAATTTTAACAACAAAAATATTTTTAAAATAATTTGTTACTATCCCGATAATAATTATTAATATTAAGGATTATTTTCTGTTTTTAAATTTAATATCACGTGATAATGTAATATTCCGGAGAGAATTGCATCCTATAGTTTTAGTTTAATTATTATATTGTTATTCAAGGTTATTTGAAAATATTATTGTTTTACATATACAAAGTACATTTATAATTAAGTTTTCAATCATTAGAAATGTTCAAAAATATATTAAGTCTATCAACCAATGAATCGAGACCCAGGGGCTACCCGTACAAATTTTCAAAGAAAAAAAAATTTAAATCAGTAAAAGTAACAAATCATAAAAAATGATTACATTAAAATATAGAAATTTTTAATGGCTTCGTATTTATTTTTAAATAAAAATGTTGAAATTGTAAAATATCAATTTATGAGTATTAAAAAAAATGAAAAATGACGTCAGTACAATGTTACCATTATAAGGAAATGACATTTGTTAGGTCAATATCAGAAGATTTCAATAAAGAAAAATTAATTTCCTTTTTCCTTCCTTATCCAATTAAAGAAAAGCCATTTTTTAACCACATTATATTACATTACATAATAAATTTATTAACATTTACGCATTTAATAGAAATTTATATTTAAAATAAATAAATATATATATTTATTTATTTATTGATATATATATATATTTTTTAACGTTGTAGTCATTAAAGGTTCAAAAGGGTGTTCTATCTGGAGAGTATACAATTTCTATCATTTCTAATTATAACCCCAGCCATGAGGGATTGTTTCGTTAAAGTATGGCACTCGTTCTGACTAAAATAATCTATTAAATTACATTTAAAAATATTTAAAAACAATTTAACAATCTCTGTTATCCATTCACTTATAGCAATATCGCGTTTACCTGCATAACATAGATTAAATCGATCACAGATAAAATACCAAAGGTTAATAGATAAATAAAAAAAGAGGAGGATAAATGGGAACCAAAGGATTTTAGGAAATTATTTTAGGATTAGATTATTGTAAATTAGGGAAATTCTACAGCTAGAGGATTTGTGAGATAAGGAACGAGTGGCTTTCGTCACTTACGCTCATCTTTCAAAAAGCGAGAGATGCCACGACCTTGCTCCTCTATAGGTCAAATTAGATTCGACGGAGTTCCTGTGTGTTGGCTTCTCTACGTGTGTCTTACCCACAATGCAGTGCCGCTTACGGAAGAGTCCATTCGATAAAAGTGGGATAGGTTAATTTTTCATTTTTCTTGTTTAAATTTCAACCAATCATATTAAAGTTTATTATTATTTTCTTTTATATAAAATGTTTTAAATATGTAAATATTAATTTTGTTCCTGTATTAAAATTTTGCCTTTTTCCTATTTTTGAATATTTATTTTTCTTAAATTATTTTCATACCAAAAAAAAAAAAAATGCAAAAGATTAATCTGATTTTATTGTATTTAGTATTATTGATGATTAATTGAGTTGATCGATGTTTAAATAATTTATGGCGAGTTGTTAAATGTTAAGATAATTTTATGTGTTTTAATCAATAGATAAGTTTAAAAAACTTATTACTACATTCAAACAATGCACGAAAGGATTGCACTTTTAACTTTAGTAAGGATACATCTGAAATATTTTTAAAAAATTATAAAAGTATATCCTAACTTTATGCATAATACCTAAAACCGAGAGAGGTGAGATGGGACTTGAATCAATCACAAATATGAGGCTTTCCAACTGTCGTAAAAATATATGAATAGCAGCAATAATAATAATAAGAGATCTGTTTTAATCATTTATAAGAAGAGGGACTCTAAAATTTAGCCTTAAAAATTAAATTTTGGAGTTCCTCTGCTTATAAAACAAATTTTAAGACTAACTGCATCAAGACCTGGTCCAAGCGGTTATATTCATTTTTCTTCTGAGTCTAGTAATCAGTAAAAGTAATTTATATATGTATATATAATTTAATTCACGTCTGCCTTTCTGCCTTTCTTGTCTGTCCGTTTGTTCGAGCATCACGTGAGAACGGCTGAACTGATTTCTATGAAAATATGTTCATATATTCAGAAAATTCCTGAAAAGGATATAGACTACTTTTGAATTCATGTCTTTCTGTATGTCTGTTCTCGTATCACGTGAACAGCTGAATCTTTATCACACTATATTTTTAAGAATGTATTTAGAGCAAATTTCGATATAAAATTATTTTTGGTGGATCGATTATATTATAAGTTTTTATTATAAGTATACATTCTTTTTCCGTACATATATTTTTATATGAGTATACAAGCGTATTACCTTTATATAACATATCATTTTTCCCAGGGAATCCAGGTACCTCAACTAGTATGTAATAAAATCAATAAAATTCGTAGTAAAAACATTGCTATAAATAATGCTAAATAAAGCCAATATCTAGTTTACATTAAAAACTTATTTTCTTGAAATAAAAGAGAAATAAATTAATAAATTATAAAAATCATTTTAAAAAACCAACAAAGCAAGCATTAAAATCGCTCAAAAATGTGTTGTTTTTTAATATTTTAATATTTTTATTGTACTAAAAGTATACAAAGACATATTTTTAAATTTAAATATCCAATTTTCTCTAGTTGAGCTGCAATTTGAAAAAAATTGTAGACCTATAAATTCCTACTGTCGTCCGTCCGTCCGTCCGTCTTTCCTTAATCTCGAGAACAAAGTTAGATGTAAAATTCAAGACCATACATGGAAATCTTAGGGATAAGAGGCCCCAATTAACTATTTAGGAACTTCCAGTGAAAACCGAAGTGATATTTCAATTCAAAAATTTTCCCCTGAAAGGTCTTTATAGATGACAGCACGACTCTGTTAAAGGAAAAATATGATGTACAGGGGCACAAGACACTACAGTACTAATTTGAGGTGGAGAGCATATATTTTAAATGAAATAAATTAAAAATATGATTAAAAATTGCAGCCAGGCATTGTGTCGATGTCACAATAAATAATTGCTCGTTAAACATTTAAAAGTTGATTAGTAAATAAATTTGTATAATATATATTTTAAAATAGTCTTGTTACTTAAAAAATTTTTTTACGTATTTTTAAAATATTTTTTGAGTGAAAGAATTTTTTTTAAAAATAATTATATATATTATTTATATTCAGTTTTTAATTTATTAATTGATTAATTTATTATTTAATTATAAAAATAGGACATTTAACTTTCATAATTGATTAACGTTGTACAAATTCTTAACAGATGCAAATGACATTTAAAAAATCAATCTCGAAAGCAATCCTAAGCTACCATTCTCGCAAATCCAAGTGCACAAGATCATGTTATTCGCCGGGAAAATGTGTACTAATTTGTTCTAATTTCATGCCGTAACGAGATATGGTTTTCTGGAACAACTTAGATGTGTAAGCAGGCTAGCCACTCGCTGCACATATACTGATCCCAAGTAAATTGATACCAAGTAAATTAGTATCCTCTCTAAACAGTATTTAAGCGTACCTATTGATAAGTACCATCAAACATATTTTGGCAGAATGACCGAGTGGTTAAGGTGGCAGTCTACTGCTCTCGTGGATCGTTCCAACCCCATCCTCGGGAAGGTCCGTCCGGATATGTCGGGCTCGTCCCTCACTCCCCATAATGTATTTGCTAAAAACGGTCTTTTTAGGGCCCATAAGGCAGAAAGTTTAAAAAAAAAATTAAAAATTAATTTGAAATTTTGATAACCGGGTTGTTCCGGTTATGTCGACTCTGAGCCATTCCCCTTGAAAATCTAGCTGTATCCACGAGGAAAATAAAAAAAAAACCTCTTAGTGCCCGCAAGATGGAATGAGTTTCTTCTCTCCTCAACCCAAGGGTTAGTGGGCAGCATCAAGTCCGCCATTCACTTCTATTTAGTACTATTCGTTTAAGCTTGCCCTAATGTGTTCTGACTTTCACTATGTCCCAGTACTGCACTCTTGGTCGTCCTCTTACTGCTTTTCTCTCCATCATTCCCTCAAATAATACCATCCTTCTGAATGTCTTAGTAGATGTCCCATCATGTGGTTTCTTCGTTTATTTATAGTGGTAAAAATGCTTCCGGTTTCTCCTGCTCTCTGTTAAAATGTTTGCCTACTAAAATGGACTGGACAATTGATAGAATGAGGCGGATCTGCCAAGAGAGGTACCTCTCGAGAAGACTTTCTATAAGAAACTATTCTAATCTTGATGCTAGACAAGTGACGAAAACCCGGAAAACTGCGACCAATTACCAGATCTAGTGATTTTTATCTATTTGGCCACTGATGAACTCTCCTAAAATGAAACTTTTGCATGTTTCATAATGCAAAACGGATATTTTAAGTCAGATCAAGGACGGATCCAAGGAATATAGGGGTAATCGTCTCCGTAAAACTTTTTAATATTAACAAGAACTTCATCATTTCTTTAATGTCTATATTTTTGTTATTTAAGTTTACAATTTATTTTAAGCAATTATTAAGACGATAAAAGTTTTATGTTATTACACAAATTAAAAATCGTCCTCCTAAGATTTGCTCTTAAATTCATCTTTGAATTAAATGCAAAAGACTATTATTATTATTATTATTGTAACGAATCAAATATATTTTCATAATTATAGGATTTATATATATCTTAAAAGATATTTGAACTAATTCACGATCAAAAATATTTTTAAAAATTCAGTGCAAAATTTCAGAAATTATTACCATTAGCCTATTTATCAAAATTTGTCTACGTAATCCATTAAGGAACTATTATTAAAAAATCTTAAAACGAAATATGTCATTTTATTTTATTTTGAAAAATTGTTTCACTTGATATGAATGGAAAGACCCGCATAAAATTAGCATAATTTTTCCCGCTAAATAACCTGTAACATTGAATGCATCGATTCGCGAGCGTTTTCATATATAATCGCATTAGTATATTTTTTGTCATTCATTTATTTTAAAGAAATTAATTAATTAATTAATTTTTAATACATTTTATAAACTTTTTATTAAATAAATATTTGCCTATATTGCTTTTAAATATCTTAAAATTAGTATAAAATATTTTAAGTATCTTAAAGATTAGACTATATTTCCATTTTAATCAATAACGATTCCAAAATAATTTTAGATCAAAAATATTGAATTAATTTAAATATTAAAAATTCAAAGTAATTGAAAAATGAAAATTAATTTAAATACAATTAAAACAGATGCTATGAATTTTATACCTAGTCTAAAGAGAATACATTGGTCTAATTCCGAGGTTTACGCTTGCAAATCTCATATCCCATTCTTCATCAAAGATCCTAGTTCTTAAAAAGTGACTTGTAGGGATAATTGCTGTAATTCTGTTAACATCTCATCGAATAATCACAGTATCCATATGGTCTCTGATGAACTATGAATTTTCATCAGAAATCCTAAGAAATCTAGATTTCTATACGTTGCTTATAGAGATTTTATAAGAACTCAGAATCACTAAGTCTTAAACTAGATTTGGATCTCGAAAAACTGAATGAAAACTAGTTTTAAACATTTAGTGTCATATTTGATAAATTATTCACTTGGAATAAATCAAAAATGTCTAAAACTAATCTGTCTAGGCGTGACCTCATCTATATTAGATGTCAGTACAGTATCAAGTGTGCACTCATTTTGCCAGGATAGTGTACACTTTCAGGTCGATTTTTATGTCCTTTTAGACATTCTTATCATTTAAAAAAAAGTAAGAGTAACGTCAAATTGACTTTAAAAAAAATGCTATTCTGACAAAACAAATGACTGATTAGTTGGAGACATGGATTTATCTAGAAATTTCAGGAATGTTTTTCCTAACTAATAACTTTAAAAAATCAGTCTTATAGATTAATTTTAAAACGCAAATAAGTATACACCTCAGTCTGAATGTTTATAAAATTATTTTTAAAATCCAGCAACGAGTTGCTCAACTTTCCCGGCAACATTTAAAAAATGCGAGTGACGCCATCTGTTATGATATTTTATTTTTAAAAAAACTTATATTTTTAATTATTATAATATGGCAACAGTTTAATTTTGAGGTAGGAACGGGTTTTATTTTTAAAAAATGTAAATGCTAATAACGAGTAAAATCGTCATTAATCGACCCTACTCGATGTAGACACACGACCCCCTTTATCTCTCCACCCCTCGACCATTAATCTCCAAAATTTAACAGCATCAATCCTCCCAGGCCGGATGGCCGAGCGGTCAAGGTGGCAGTCAACCGCTCTGGGGGACCCGGGTTCGAATCCGAACGGGTCGAAAAATTCCTAGGAATTCCTCGAGGGGTGGTCCGTTCGGATATGTCGGGCCCCGTCCCTCACCATCCGGAAGCCCCATTATGGGCCTGGCCGAACCCATAATGAGCTTGCAAAAAGAGGTCCTCTTAGTGCCCACAGGGCGGAAAGAGTTAAAAAAAAAAAGCATCAATCGTACTAATGCACAAACCTGTCTGCAAAATTTCAGAATTTTCGACAAAAAGCACAGGAATTATTAAGCTCAAAGAGGGTGAACAAATCGTATCCCATACACAAACATACTGTATACAGAAAAACCCCCGTAATTTTGTTTACATTTCTCAACGTTTCGAGATTCCAGAGTCCAAAAATGTAAAAATCCTGGTGGGTCGTTTTTTGACCAATCGCCATACTTTCCCTTTGTTATATCTGGGAAAGTAACTAGAAAATTCGTTTGCTTTATTTTAAGGGGATTATTGCTTCTCCTAGATCTGTCTCTAGTTGAAGATATAATATTCGATTAGTTTCAAACACTTCAATACGTCGTCTCCTCAGTTTTACAACGAACAAGTTTAGAAATAACGTCAAACTGATACAAAAATATATCATCTTAGCCAATCGAACACGCATAGTTACTTAATTTTTGAGGGTAAGTCAAATTATAGTATGGTTTTGTTTTACACATTTCATAAGGTACCCATAAAACGAGTTAGTATAAATTTGTACTCCATTCTAAGTTGTTCTAGATAATTTCTTAAGACATTTATGCAACCATTTACAATAGCCAGAAAAACGTTAAAAATATGTTTAAAATGTTTTACTTGCTGTTCATCTTTGTAAAAAGGTTTCATCCCAATATTTCTGAATATTGATACAACAGATTACAACAGAGCAAAATTTTATTACATAATATCGAGAATACTACAGGAAGAAAAAAGTAAATGCACATCATCCTCTTGCTGTGGTTTCGGTTTTGTTATAGTGCCAAAATTTTACTTTTAGTTTTTTAACCTAAACATTTGACATCTGCATACAGTATATCAGTCCAGTGTAAAACAAGACCTTGCTGTAGTGTTTCAAATGAAGATATTTTTTTAAATTTTCTCTTATTCTAAATAAGAATTCAAAATGGCTGATTTGTCAATGATAATTGTATTATTCCAATTGCCAAGATTATCTCATGTTAAACATACTAAAAATTGGGGTGATAGAAAAATGTTAATTTAAAATAGCAAGATTCAGTACATTAATAATGATTGTCTGACTTTTAAAATTTAAAGAAATTGGAAATTTTTCAACATTAAAAATTTTTTTGGAAAATACAACAAATTTATTCAAAAATGAAATAGTTTGAGCTTTATTTAAACATAAAATTTCCATTCTTGTACATATTTGCATATAAATTTCTCATTTTTATTAATAAAAGACTAGACACTTTGGATGTCTTTTTCTGGTGATGATTCTAAACTTTAGTTAAAATATAGTGAAAAAAATACATTAAAAAATTTAAGTTTCTGAAAAATAAAAACAAATTTTAGCCAAAAATTAATCATAAAACTTTTTGTCGTCATTTATAGAATAGAATTAGTCTCTCCAAAAGTTCCAATAGATAATTATCTATTGGAACTTTTCTACCAGAACTATCTATTCTATTGGAGAGACTAATTCATCATATTCATCACTGTAAAAGGACTGATAAAGGCAAGATAGTGTCCTCTCCAAAAAGTTGTGAAAATATATGATCATTGATAAAATTAACAAATTTTTATATCTTATTTCTTTTATTACTCATACATTCTTATATTTCTTATCTTGAGACTGCTGTCTGGAGCTCTATCCAAATGATTCTGCTGATCTCCCTTTGTATCTAAGTCTGTCAGCATAAATGGAATTTGTTGACAGAAGTTCTTGTTAAAAGCGTCACTATATGTAAAAATTGTAATACCGTACTTATTAATATTTCTCAGATACTTCTCTATTGGGACAGAATTTAATGCTTCTTCTCATACAAAAGCATAACTCAGTTAATCTAATATATTAATGTTATATCAAGATATAATTGAGTGGCCAATTTATTATGACCACCTGCAAAGTTTACACAAATCAGCTATGATAGCACTCTGTTGTCATTAGAAAATGAGATTGGTATAAAAAGGAATTGCTGGATTGTACAGGCAGTTGTAGGGAATTGCATTTGAAGATATGGGTAAAAGATGTGATTTAACAGACTTTGAACGTGGAATGATTTTGGGTTCTAACAGCTTTGAACGAGTATCAACAAAACTGCTTTGTTTGTGAAGTGTTCATGAGCAGCTGTTGTACAGGTGTACAAAGAATGGTCAACCAAACAAAAAAGCGGATTTCAATGTAAGGCATGTGGTCATCCTTGATTCCTAGTTGCTTGAGCTGAAAGGAGAATTGCCAGACTTGTCCAGTCTAACAGAAGTGCACAGTACATCATATTACAGCTGATCTTAGTTGACTTCCATAATCCCAAGATCTCAATCCAATTGAGCATTTGTGGGATGAGGTCAAAAAGGTCTTCAGGCAGCTGATACACAACCATTCATGCAAGTTATCAGATATGGTATCATATTCCTCCAGCAACTTACCATCATCTTGTAGAGTCCATGCCAAAAATAATTGCAGCAGTATTGTGAGCAAAGAGTGGCCCAACAATGTACTGAGTAGATGGTCATAATAAATTGGCCACTTGGTATATATTACAGTATTTCATATAGAATTGATGTAAAGTACTGTATTCTGAATGCTATTTGATGCAATATGAGTTATGGTCTTCTCAACCCTTCTTACAGAAAAACTTGTTAAAATGGACACTTGTTCTGATCAAAAATCCAACATATTATATTTTTTAATTAAATCACAACTCAGTTTAGAGATTCTCAATACAATTAAGTTATTATAAATTTAAATAAAATAAAATTATACAAAATGTTTACATGCTTTTTATTAATAAAATTATTATTTAGTCAAATTACAATTACATGTTCATGAAAAGAAATAAAGATATTTTATAATTGTACAGATATATTCACTTGTTAATACCTCAATCATCTTCAAACATCATAGATACAATCTCTTTATCAAATAATTGTTCTTCTTCCAATTTCTTTGGCTGTAAAACAGTTGAAACATTTTTTCATTTGATAAATACAAAGATTTTTATTCTAAATATAAAAAAAATTGTTTAAAGTTGCCAAGTTATTATTTAATGACCAGAAAATTGTAAAAATAGATTTTAAAAATATGTCAACAGTTTGAGAATTTGAATGTTTTTATTCATCAAATATTTGGTAATAACTAAGCGATTTTTTAAAATTTTGTTTTGTCTCTCTTTTTATCTTACAAAAAAGCTAAATAAAATTGTTTTTGTTGTCTTAAATATAAAATATACTTAACATACTGTATTTAAATTTTTTAAATTACTGTTTAATGTATTTTTAAAAATTCAATAGGATATTTATTTTTTTATTTATAATTAAATTGGAAACAATTAATTCACATAAAAGTCATATTAAATTCTTATTGTTTGTTCAAATTTGGTGCTTTTGATTCAATTTCAGAAAATTGAATATTTGATTTGAAAGTATTTATTTAATAAAGAACATTTCTTCTCCCCTAATTTAATTTATCCTTGTTAAGGAAGTTCCTCAAATATAAATCCAATTCAAATGGCTTTTCTAAAGTGAAAACTTCAAAAAACTCCAGCACTTTCTGGTTGATGGATCCATCCATCAAGTTAGGGGTGGACCCACAGGGACTACAGAGGCTTAAGCTCACCCATTGACACAAAAAAATTTAAAATTTATTACTTCAAATGTTGTTTTTAAAACATTTATGATGACAAATCAGGTTTATCAGACCATCCACAATTTAATCATCTTGCATATGTTAATCAAAGATACAGTACTTATAATAATTCAAAGATTTGAATTAGCCCTCTTCAGGTTCTTATGTATCTACCACCTCTTCTGATGACAGATGTATAACAGTTTGAATTTGATTAATCTATCTCCTAATAATTTTTTCTCTTATTAATTATCATCTGAATATTTTGTTTTAAGTCAATAATAATTAAGTGTAATAGAACTTTTGAAGTTTAAAACTCCTGTACTATGTTCTAGCATTAAGTTATTTATGAAAGTAAAAATTAACATTTTATCATAATCCATCACAAAGATGAGTTCTTTTAACTCAACAAAGACAATCTGAAAATACAGATAAAATTTGAGTCTTTGAACATAAACTCAACAAAAAAACAGTTAAAGAAACATATCTTGATTATTTCTCATCTCAACATTTAAAAATGTTTCTTTTGATAAAAGTCAAGAGAGATGTTTTTAACTGCTGAAAAATTATCATCTTTGACAATGGGACAAATTGATTATTAATAGCATTAATATTTAATCATTTGGCAAATAACAAAATGGTGAAATCATTATGATAATATAATTGATGATTTTAAACATTCTAAAAATAACATAATTTTTATAATTGTCAAAGCACATAAATAAAATAATTCAACTCTAATAATCCTAGGCACATAACATATAGTACACTCTTGCCAATCCAGCCTCTCAGTTTTTTGCCATACTTCCAAGTGTGACTGCCTATGTACTTCCATTTTCATGAAAATATTAATTCTGTTTTTCTGTTTACTCAGGTTTCATTTCTCTTTTTAATATTGCATGTCAATACATCATATTACTTGCCTGTCTGTCTGCAAAAAGAATCAGTATGGAAAGGCAACAGGTTACATCATTTATAGCCTATACATTCTCAGTTATCTAATATCCCTCTGTGAAAGGAATGGACAGATAAGCAAGAATATATATATATTATTCTTTACTCCAACAAAATTTCATTTTATATATAGACATATATGTGTTTTGATGTCTTGGTTTGGTTATAGTAGCATAAAACATCAAACAACAAGATTAATATTGTCATAGTGCTCTCAGACCTATTTTGTCTCTTAATCAGTTTATTCAATAAAAGAAGTCCTACTGTCAAACAGTAGGACTTCTAGCAACTTAAGTAACATAATTACTTAAATTTAAAGCTCCATTTTAAGGCCTCAGTGTTATTTGCAAAACAAAGGCTGAAATGGGCTGCACAAACATTGGCTGGGGGCCATAGCTTGTCTAAACCATAATTGCTTGCTATAGTTGAATCTTTAAAGAGCCTTCTTGGCTTCAGTATGAAACAGAACATTAAATTGTAATGGCATTATCATTTGATTTTTAATTTCTTTAATATAGATGATCCTCAACTCTTAAACAACTTGTTCTCTTGTAAATTATATGCGGCATGTCTAAAAATTAAGTTCCAAGATGACCTTTAAGACACCCAAAAAAAAACAATAAATCATTGAGGCAAAGTCTAGACTATAAGGGACATTGGACAAAACCTCCCAGTGCATTTCAGCCAGAGTTTCTGTTGTCAAATTGGCTGTATGAGGCCAAACACTGTCATGGGAAGAATGACATTTCCTGGCCTTTTCTTATGAATGACATTTCATACCAAGTATTACTGCACCTTTCATCAATGTGCAGTAATACTGGGTATTAATTGTGACCCATTTCTCCAAAAAAATCCATATGGATAACATCTTGCATGTCCTAGAAGACAGCTCCCAAAAACAGACAGCTGCACTTTGCTTTTCTTGGGTGGCAGGGAACTCTTATATATCCACTCCATACTGCTCCTTTTAGTCTCTGGGGTCAAATGGTGATCCATGTTTCATCACACATGATGATTGATTCCAGAAATTCATCACCTTAAGCTCAAAACTGATTCAGGAGCTGTTCACAGATCTTCATGCATGTCTATTTCTGATCTAATATTATCCTGTCAAAGAACCCATCTTGCACAGACTTTGCAGAAGAGTAACAGCCAATTGCAGACACAGAGTTTACGTTAAACAACGATTAGCAGTCAAATGGCATCTAGATATTGATTGACTGAACCATAGTTTAAAATGTGTTGCAAAGATAACTATCATCTATTTCTGAACACCATCTACACAAACTTCAACAAAATGTTGGCTTTTATGTTTTTTGCAATTATTCCCCTCTTTCAGAAGTCATTCAGCCAATTGGGTTATTCATGTGGCATCAGAAAAACTCCAATAGAGTCGCCAACTACTTTCTGAAAGTTTCCAGTAGTATAAAATCTTATGGCCATCAACAACTGTTATTCGGCAGTTAATGACTAACCTTTTCCATTTTGATGTTTAATTTTGTAGCCAATATGATTTAAAATATGAACAAATCCAGATTTAGAAAATTTATACTGAACTTTGGAATTTGTCTTCAGAACAGATTTTTAAGGATTATTACAATATTGTATTACTCTCACCCTTTGTAATTTTTGAGATGAATAATTTTAAATATTTTATTTTTCATTTCTATAAGATTTTTGTAATTACTAAAATTGTCTTCTGTTTCTTTAACAAAATGTTATGACAAAGAGATTATAACAATAATGATCCCGAAATGCATTACCATTTTATAACCAACATGATACTTGAATTATAAATAAATGCATCTGGTTTGATTGTAGTCTTAAGTCTTCACCCATTTGAATATCAGAATTGAAACAATTAAAACAAATTTAAAGTATTTAATTATATTATTTCCAATCCAAGCAATTAATTAATGAATAATTTTGTTGATTCATCCCATTTACAACATTTATCAAATGAACAATATCCTTTTTTATCTAAACTTTGCCACAAACAAAACAATATGATGACTTCCACTCAAATTAAAATGCTGTCTAAAACCACTGTCGTGGTTTTAGACAGCATTTTAGTGAGTCTAGAAAGTAGGCTAAATAACTGGTTTTTAATTGCAGTCTAAACTGCAGCAAACAAGAAATCTCTCTGCAACAAAATTTTTCTGAACTGCAGTCTAGACTATCTCTAAACTATCATCACTGTCTAAATGCTGTTTCTGCATTCAGCCCTAAGTGTTTGTAAATGAGTGTCTCAACACTGCCAACGTTGATATTTACCTCAGTTGCAATATCCTAAATTATATGCCGGTTCTCAAAGATAATTTGCTCAATATGTGCAATATTCATTGATGTGACTTGTCTAACCTTGTTCAATGGTTCATTTGTCACCAGCTCTCATCTTTTGCCAAACTGTTACCATTTGTACACTCTTGCCAGGACATCATTTGTTCCCCATACTGCACTTTTAATCTTCTCAAAATTTCAGATGGTTTAACATTTTCCTTCACAAGAAATTTGATTAAGCACTTCTGTTCCATGGCTACAGAACACTGCTTGCCACAATGATCACAGCAACTGTTGTGCATTCACCAAATATGTCATGCCAGATGCAGAATATTCAGGAAGGATTATGTTATACCCTCTGCCTCTGCAAATTTTATCATACTACAAAGTCTTCAATTTTTTACACACAAAAGTCTAGGTCAACCTTAAATGACCATTGTTCAATGGTACTTTCTACTAGTTTTGTTTCATAAATATTAAAATCATCCATAAAAATTAATTTTTATTGTGTGTTTCCTGTTTAATCTATAGTTTTAATCTTTTATTATGTTTTATGTATACATATTCACTGAAAAAAATTAAGATTGTCCTACCTCAATGAGATTTTATAATTAAGATTTTTTAAAATCTTTCTGAGACAAAACTCCTCCATAACATTCAACCTGATTGCTCAACTTTTCTATGTAATTCTAGGAATTCATCACATTCATGAGTGGGGAGTCTGATACATTACTTAAGTACGCTATCTTTACTTTGGTGTAAACTTTTACATCACATTTTAATTAACTTTGAAAAATTAATAATTTTCATTAAAAGTTTTAACTTTAAGAACTTATATTAAAAAGACAATGGTATAACTTATACATATCTATACTTACAGTTTTCCATTTTATCAAAGTTGGAACACTTTTAAGTTTCAGATCTTGATCAGTACGGAAAGTGTTCTTTGGATCTTTCCAACTACATAGAAATTGTTAGTTAATTTATTTAAACATTTAAGTATTGTGCATGCTTATTTTTTAAATACAAATTAAATATAAGAATAAATTTTTAAGTTATTCTAGTATGTTTATACATCTTAGGAAGACTATTAAAAATAAATCAATAAAATCAAATAGAGCCATTTTATTAATCATCATTCTGAATACAGAATATGCTAATAAATAATCTAGTTTCTCAGATCATGGGGTTAAATCTCTCTTCAAACATGAATATTTGTGACTGTTAGATTTAACAGAGATTGTTGTTTGGGAGTGCTTTAGTTATTCGTGTNTTAATATTTATATTTTTTGTATTTTGAACTTGTTGTTCTATTTTTTGAAATGTTCTAATTTACCTGAAGATGATCCATTGATTGGATTGAAAACGTTTGTGTTAAGAATAAATCTCTCAGCGAGTGAACAGGTGTTGATTTAGTTATAGTTTATTATTTTCTGCTGAGCACGCTTTGGGTTGTTTATATGAGTTACAATTATTATATTTAATTGCGGCTATGTGTTCTTTTAACCGGGTTTTTCTCTAAACCTCCAAATATATACTTTATACTGTAAAATTCCTCAGAGGCACAAAGCAGCTAGAGTCCTTCAGCCTCATATACTACCAGAATAGTTGTTTTATATTTTATATATAAAAGAATTATTCCCATGATGATGAATGATTGACCACTGTTAGGATCAAAACACTTGGAGGGAGAAAACTGCACCAGTATGCTGCTCAAAATACTTCAACAGAAAAGAATGTACATTTTCATTGGTTGCTCTAGTAAAGTGTTTTTCAACCTTCTTGAATACACTTTACAAGTGTACAGAGAATACACTTTACCCCTTTACAAGTGAAAAAATTCTGGTGACCCCCCTAGGGCCATATTAAAACTATATCAGTGATTTTAAAAACTATGTATTTAAGTTTCTTTCAACTGAGACAAATTATTTCAGCTGAAACTTCCTTTAATTATAACATTGGGCATAGGGAGCCGTTGACATTGGGCATTTTTTTTTAGGATGAGAATTTTCAGCTTATACTTCTTATTTCTTTTTACAAATCAGCTCAACACTTTTTCGGCTATGATTTTCTGGGGTGGACCGTACCCACCCAGGCCCCTCCCTGGCTACACCCATGGTTGAGACCTAGATATCAATTAAAAAAACCAATTGTACTGTAAAATAAAAACAGGTACAGCCTTCTTGCTGAAATTGTAGTTTTTTTAATGTAGTGTAGGACCTACAAACACTAGTCTTTTTCTTTTACCCACAACCCACAGGTTGAAAAACACTGCTCTAGTACATACAGCATCACTTCAAACTGTAGCAGGTGATACAGTAATACCAAGTTATGTAACATGCAACTTAACATGCAAACTATAAATTCACAGTTATATAAAATGTAAATCTTAAAAATTGGAAAAAAAATCTGAGTAGAGAGAGTAACATGTAATTTTACAAAGAATTATTCTATTTCATTCATTCTCGCTTTTTCTCTCTTCCTTTTTCTTTCACACTGCACTGATTTATTACTTTATTGCTCTGCTAATCCTTTACTTTTTGGTCTAATTATAAGCATGTATGCAAACATACTGAGCATGCTTTCTCATAAATAAGATTCTTCTACAGCACTCAGTGAAGGCCAAGCAGCGAAACTAAGCACATCTTCATTGCTTGTTTTTCTATATGTATTGTTTCACGTCATTAGTGTAGTTTGCCTTGAATGATTTGTTTAAATAACCTGTTTACCACCGCTACATTTAAATAGTATTTGTTGGCCAATTAATTAAAGAAAGTGTGACTTAAAGGGTTATGTTAAAATGCAATTGAAACAACAAACTAAATTTGTTAGTAATAAACCAAAAAAACAAAGCTCTGCAATTATTTTAGAAGAAAAATTAAAAAAAATTATTTGTTTCATTTGTGTGTGTACAGTACGTTGTATTTCTATTGTTCTTTTATACAAAAAAAATAATATATAATATATGTACAGTACAATGCATTGTACAGTACACATAAGAGTCCTTTACAATGCACGAATAAAGCAAGCAACACTCTTGAATTTTGTTGATCAGATATATACTTTTTTTTCAACTTATAGGCCAAGATTTAAACTTTCATAAATCATGTCATAATGCGATTTCGATAATGCATGTTTCGATAACGTGATTTCCTATAATGTCATAATGCATGTTTCGATAACGTGATTTCCTATAATGCGTAACAAATCCCTCGCGTTGTATGGGACTCTACTGTATAATAATAAATACAGTATTGAGTTATTAATTACACTTGAGCAATTTACAAATTCGCATTACATAAAATTCAAGTTATGTAAAGGTTTGCGGTCTGCATTACTTACGTAACTCGGGGTATTACTGTACAGTAAAACCTGCATAAACTGGAATTGCAGAGTACAGAATATTTTTTCCAGTTAGGCAGATGTTTCTTAACAGGAAATCACTCTGTTCTGAAGAATTTTTTCTCATTAGGCAGGCTTTTGTTTTATTCAAGTTCTTTGTTGAACAGATTTTACTGTATTAACTTTGTACAAATTTGAATTTTTTACTTATTTTGTTACTGTGCTTTACTGCAAAATATAAGCATTATATCTTTGTAATAGGTACTGTACATTTACTTCTTTTCAACATGAAAATTATTTTCCAGTAATTTGTATATCAATGTTAATGATTTAATAGGAAATACTTCTCATTATAAGAAGATTGAAAAATTATTATTAAAATGCATAAAAACAAAAAATTCTTATTGAAGTAAGATTAAAATCAATAGTTTCACAAGTGGATTTGAAAATATCACATCATCAGATATAATCTGAATGTATTCAATTTCAAAGATATTTTTGTGTTCAATGACCAAAGAGAGACTAACAAGGAAACCCCTTCAGGTGAATGTTGAGTTGGGGTTTGAAACCTTTATCCTTACCTAAATTGGGGGGAGGGAAGATGATTCCACAAGTTACTAACTTTGCAAATGTTCACATGACCCTTAGCTAGATCAACTTTGAAACTTCAAAACAGATATATTTGCAAATTGAACAAATCAGAAAAAAACCTGACAACAGTGAGCTACTAAAGTTGAATGGCCAAAGTCATCATAAGAATGCATCCAGGTGTTTATAACTAATTTTGTTCATCATAGTTTAAGAATATGATTTGGTACATGAAGAAAAGATCTAGTTACAATATAGGAACCCATTTGAAATGTTGTCAGAAGTACAACATTTGCCTATCTGTCAGGCAACAAACAGATTCCACGAAGGAAGAAGTCTGATTGTTTTGAAGCAGCCCAATTTTGGATATCCTCATAAGATCTGAATCGCTTTACAGAAAGGTTGCTCTGAATGGATCAAAACAAATGGTAATCTGAAGGAGTACATCTGGTGAATATGGCACATGGTGCAATACATCCCAGCAAAGTGCTTCTAGAGTTTCCTTGACTAGTCTTACAACATGTGGGCAAGCATTCTCATGTTGGAAAATAACCTTGTCATGTCTTTTGGCATATTCTGAACGTTTTTGCTTCAATGCTTTGTTCAATCTGATTAAGTGTTGTTTGTAACATTCAGCATTGATTGTCTGACTAACAAGCTCGTGTATACTACACCCTTTTGATTCCACCAGATAAACAGCATAATCTTACTTCCATGAATATTCTGTTTTGGCATTGATGGACATGGTTCACCTGGATGCACTCATGCCTTTGATCATTTTAGGATTATTGAAGTCAGTGGCATAGCGTAGTGGGGGCGGCACTTTTAGGGGTGGCAAAATTTCATAATAAATAATAATAATATCTTGTAAAAATTTGAACCATTTCATTTCATATTTTCGTCGCACTTACAATTCAAACTGATTAAAATGAGCACAGAATAGTGTTACAACCTAGACAGTCCAGGAATCGACTCACTGTCTGGGTGAACTGTTAATTTTTCTGGCAATATCATGCGCAACCTGTCAACCTTTATTTTTTTTTTCTTGTTCAATTCGTATTCATACACATCTCCAATATCCAATAGAGCTATGTCATCTATGTTACTTACGTTACTCCTACCCAAGTCTCCCTAGTCCCTAACTGTACCTGATTTAGAACCGGCATGCACATTATTCTTCGCATTGCAAAATGACATTACGCATGCGTCAGGAACGCATTACGCATACCTCACCTGCCCTCCGGGTCAGCAATTTAAAAAGGTGGCAACACTAGCACGGAATTTTTCATTACTTATTCTGTGATGAAACTGAATTTTAGTCTTTTAAATTGAGATACCTAAATAAGGGGATGGCAAAATTTTCCTTTGCCCCAGGCAGCTGACACCCACGCTATGCCACTGATTGAAGTGAATCCATTTTTCATCTCTAGTAACAATTCAATACAAAAAATCTTTTCTTTTAGTCTTTGGAGCAATAATTCACATGTGGTTTTTTAACATTCAACGTCTCTTTTTTTCAATTCATTAAAGACCCAATTTCCTTGCTTTTGAACCATTCCCATTACATGTAGACATTGGGAAATGCACGGTTGGGTAACATTTAAAACAGCAACCAATTTCAATTGTGTGTGGCAAGGATTTTCATCCAGCAATGCTTCCAATTCTTCATCTTGAAATTTTTTGGAGGTTTTTCAGGCTCTTTGTCATGTGTATCAAAATCATTATTTTTAAATCATCAAAACCATTCTTTGCAAATTGTATTTGATGGAGCACATTCACCATAAATTTCCAACAGCAAATGATACGTTTCTGCTGCAGTTTTCTTTGCAATAAAATAATGAAGTAAAACTTCCTGCAAATGCTGTTTTCCTAGCACAAAACTCAACATTTTTAATCAGGTAAAAATAATTATTTACACTTTAAACAGATGTCTCATACTTATTTTTAAAGAATGCTGTCAAACCTTTCAAATAACTGTTGCCAGATTCAGTTGCATGCAAGCAATACTACTAATGCAGTCTATTAAATGAGGGCAGAGTCATATTTATATGTTACTGCTAAAGCTCAAAAGCCGTTAATGTGTACATTACCTAGGGTAGATCCGTATAATGTAGGGTGATCCGTTAAAGTTTCGAAAATTGTTCCATTTCTCAAATTACCTAGGTAATATGCAGATGATCTAGGTAATCTGCACATTACCTACTAGGCACTCAGTAAACTGAAAATAAGATCTTTGTGGAACAACAGCAATGTTTCTGTACACTTAAATTAACATAATGTTATTTATTTAATTTTCGATATATAAAGAATCGAGTTAATAGAATCAAACAATCAACAAATTAGTTGATATAATCAATCATCAATCAATTAAAAAACTGTAATACAAAAATCAAACAGTTTAAAATATCATTACAATTAGGGAAATAAATTTGCAAAACATATGATAAAATTGTGCTTACTTATTAAAGCAATCTAAAGATTGGTGACACTTTGAATTACATAGCAATTGGTTTTTGTAACAAGCACACCTATTTGTAGTACACTTAAATTTTCAGTCACAATTTCTGAAATCCTGCCCAGTCAGTACCAAGGGATTGTTTTATTGCTATTTGACATAAACATGTTTCTACAGCAGGGACATCTTCTGTCATTAAAAATCTCTCTTCGCAAACACTGAATTCAGATTTTGCATACAATTGTTTTAAAATACCCGTTTTAGTACCAAGTTTATAAAAGCCATCCTCAGTTTAACTAAGAACCACAGCTAAAATTGAGCTTGCATCAGTTTTTGCTCTGTTTTGTTCAGGAAGTAATAGGGAAAGGAAATGAGAGAAACAAACTTTTGAACTTTAACGATACGGAAGCCGTTAATGTGCGGATTACCTAGGTTAAATGCAGACAAATCTTGGTTCCGCACATTAATGGATCACCCTAGTTAATCTGGAGATTAGCTAGGTAATGTACACATTAACGGCTTTCGAGCTTTAGCGGTAACATATACACCCAATAGATATATATGTGAAAAGTTTTGGGAGATTATAGATTTGCATATAAAAAATATATTTTTGTTATACTTTTTTTATAATTTCTGGTTAAGGAGAATATGCTTTCTTCGGATTATATCGGTAGACATACATTCTAAATTTTTGTACCATTTAAGAATTTTATCGAAACTTTCACCAAAATAACAGAACTATGTTATACCTTTCACACAATCCGGACACCAACTTTTTCCATTTTTATCTTTAGAACCAGTAAACAGCACATAAATATTATCGCTATTTTCATTCTCAGAAGCTATAATTTTTTTAAATGCTTCGTAACCATCTGCTAAAATTTTCTTTACCATTTCTTTTTCCTAGTCTCTAACAAAACTTTACAATGTAAACAATAACCACCAAAAAGCACGTGAGATTCTATCACGCCCAGTGTTGCCAGATGGAATAATTGAAAAATCACCAAAGAGCGCGTTTGGAAATTGTAACCGATGTTACCGGTAACTGTTGGTAGTTACCAAGGTGTTTAAAAAATGAACCAACAGAGTTTAAAAATCACTGTTATGACGTCACCAGTTACAGGAAGTCCTGCGGTACTTACCAAAGTAACCACAGTGACAAAGCGGTTACAGCGGTTCTATTGAATTACAAGATGGCGGACACATTGTATCGGGCCAAGGACTTTAAACTAACAGGATAGCCAGATCCCGTATATTTGCTAGCATGACCTTGGATCTATGTGACGTCACAGCAAGTCCTCTACTTCAACATGACAGACCTTTCAAATAACAAAATACGATAAAATATTAAATCATTTCTTAATTAATTATTAAATTACTACTAAATGTAAACTACTGTAGAATTTTCGGATTNTTTATACATCTTAGGAAGACTATTAAAAATAAATCAATAAAATCAAATACAGCCATTTTATTAATCATCATTCTGAATACAGAATATGCTAATAAATAATCTAGTTTCTCAGATCATGGGGTTAAATCTCTCTTCAAACATGAATATTTGTGACTGTTAGATTTAACAGAGATTGTTGTTTGGGAGTGCTTTAGTTATTCGTGTTATACATAAAAATACTAATAGCAACTATAATTTCAAAAGAAATTTGAATAGTTTAAACACTAATTTTCTTTTGTGTTACTAATACTAAAACTTTCATAAATTTAAAGAAATATAAATAAATTCTCAAATACTGACATTAACAAATATGAATATTTTTTTAACATAATATTAATAAAGTATAGTTATTAACAAGTTTAATATTGTAAATTATTATATATACATATGCTATAAAATGGTGTTTCTCATCCTAAAACACATCACAGCCAGCGGATTTTATAACTTCTATAACAAGAACTGGTAAAATATATGAAGCATGCAATGTCATAACATTGTAAATGCCATTTTTCTCTAAATACATTTTATTGAAGAATTGAATTCTAAATGCAATGTTTTCTGCTGCAAAAAAATATTGTGGCAATATTGGCATTGTAAATGGCTACATTTTGAAGCTGAATTTATGTGAGGCCATAATGTTTAAAGCACCAAAGTGTAAATCATGTGACTTTTGGTGCTTAAAACGTTTTTGTTGACAGTTATTAAAATGTTACAGCTTATATTTACATCATTTTGATATTCCAGAGAATTTGCAACCTAGTGAGTTTTTACCATTTTATTGTAAAATTGAAATGAATTCATTCACTAGAAAAAGTGTTTTTTACCTCTCCTAAAAAGTTTGTTTTTTGGCATTTACAATATTATGGCATTGCATGCTTCATATATACATATATACAGGTATTTCTCATATAACATGACACTTCTACAACACAGTTTCGCTCTAACATAGTTTTGGAAATTCGACTTACAAAATTTCACAATTTTTAAGTCTAAACTTCATTATTCTATATTTTTTTTTACTCAAGTAAGCAAGTGTTATCTCAAATTTGCCACAGATTTTAGAATATTACAATTTTTAATTTGTTTTATGTCTTTCATCAGGTTTACTTTAATGAAACCTGATTCTAACAAGGAAGAAAAATATTGCACAATCAAGCAGGTGTCATTGTCATTGCTTTCAGACTTTAACCCTTAAGAGTGTGTTTTCTTTTTGTACATTAATCTTCATATTTAGTAAAGTTTATTTAAACATTTTTAGGTAAATGTTATTAAACTTTTTTAACCCTAAGTATTACTTACCTAAGAATGAACTAATCATTCGTAAAAATGATGAATGAAATACAGCAGTATCTCAGTATTTGAACAGTTCTCAACTTGAACAATTTGGTATTTAAAGAAAGCAATGACAATGACACCTGTTTGATAGTAACAAGAAAGAAAAAATATTGCACTATCAGTTTTCATTAAAGTAAACCTGATGAAAGGTACAAAACAAATTGAAAATGTCAATATTCTAAAATCTGTACACAAATTTGAGATGACACACGTGCTTACTTGAGTAAAAAAATATAAAATACTGAAGTTTAGACTTAAAAATTGCAAAATTTTGTACGAAGAAATCCCAAAACCATGCTGTACAGAGGATTTCCCCAATTTTCTAAATGTGTTAGAACAAAACTGTGTTGTAGAAGTGCCATGTTGCATGAGGGATACCTATACTTTTTAAAAATTTTTTCTTAAATTTTTTTAAAACTGTTCTTAAATTAAACAAAAATGTCCTTACACTTCTCTGTTTCCAACTGTACAAGTTATGAAAGTTACGTCCTCTGGAATGTCTTTCAATACTTCTTCTATTACAGGATCAGCTAAATAAATCAAATGTACAATAAAAATATTATCACATACTGTATATTAATTAGAAATACTTTCTTGGTTAAAATGAATTAAATTATCTCAAAATTCTTAGGATTAAAAACTTTTTGTTGGGGAATCCAGAGTTGAATTTGGATCAGATCCTTAAAAATAATTTTTAAGGGCTTTTATTTAATAAAGGAGAGTCTAATTTACTTCTTCACTATATAATAACATAAATATTTGTTTTATGCGATATGCTTCTTGTCTAGTCTTGTGTACAAATATACGAGCGCTAAGACGGCTTTCTTTTTCACTAGACTTATTACACCATCAATGAAACGGAAAACAAACTTTAGAAAGACTTTTTATTTATTTGAGAATGCATTTCAGATAATTATATCCCTTTTCAACTCTTGTGTTACAACTATACAGGGAAAATTAGCATAACGTGTACAAGTTAGTAAAAAATTTACTATAATGTTACAAAATTGTAAAAGAACTTACATGAGACTTACATGGACTAAGAGAAATGCAGGAGTTGTGACATTAGAAAAAATATGGATGGTGATTATTGCTTAACAGGTATAAGCTACAATAATGATTAAATTGGAAAAGATTTACAAAAGGGGAATAATTAACATAGATGTAAAAAAATTTTTGAACTTACAGCAAACATGACGGCCTGGTACATAGTGTTGGAAAAAACATCCCAGTAAGCATGACACAATGTTGAGTTAACAGAAACAGAAAGGAGGGAACAGAAACAGATTGTTTTAGTTTACAGTAGAGTTTTATAGGATGGGATGGTCCATAAATTGTAAGTGGGAGAGGATGCATTAGGAAGGCATCACCTTGAGAAGGGGGAGAGAGGTAGTGGGTGGGGTGGACATAAGGGAAGG